AACATCGGTTCCCCTCCATTTTCCATGATAAACAATCTCAAAGGTACCAGAGCCCAACTCTCCATCTGTAATATCTGTTTCAAGCCGTCAAACATATTTTTATATGCACGATGTTTAAGCCGAGCTCCATATCTTGGATGCCTTTGTAAATCTTCAATCTGAAATCTTTTCTTGACTACATCAAGTGGATGACAGACAAGCTTGGCACATGTTCCTGCTGCTAGCCCACACAGGAAAAGCTGAAAGCTCGAGAGGCTCTCTTCAGCAGCAGTATTTGAATATTGAGCATGGTTCCACGCCATGGCCCATCGTTTGAATGTATCATAAGTGCCGAATTGTAGGCCAGCATAGGGTATAATCTCAACTAGTGTCGGTGACAATCCGGAATACAAGCCTCGAAACCCACGAGTCCGAAGAATATCAAGGGATGCTGACCTCATGTTTGGATAAACTTTAGGTTCACCCTGAGAAGCTAATATAGTTCGAAGAAGATCAAATGGATATGACCCCACAGTAGCTGCACACCCAGCTAATGCCCCGCTTAAATAGGATAGATAAGGGCTCAGATTAATGTGATTCTCTGTCTTGGAATTTTGTCTGAATAAAATATCCTTAGAAGAAGATGGCTGCACACCTATCATCTCAACTCTATCCGCATCAACTGTCGGTTTCAATGTGACAAAGTTGTTGTCCAGAATCACCTCTTTCTCTGCAGCAACCTGACTCTTGTAACCTTATGGATTTATCAACTGGAAGTAAGCAATGATCATCACTAACATCAGTATTCTGTATCTTGGGAATGTCATTCCTTTCCATCAATAAGTCTTACACAACTCTATGTAATCCAAATATTTATTGCATCTGATTTAGAAATGACACTAGTAAGCTCATTTGTGTATTCTTTGGAAGTTCCTTAGGCAACACACTCCAGAATATGTAAAGTCATTCCATCAATTATTGGTATATTATTATTAACATGCTTGTTCACGTGTTCGTCTTGTTCAACCCAGGTTTCAACCGATGCCATAGGCTGGCGGACAACATCATCTGGATAAGAAGGTGGTATCGTTTGGTGCAGAGTGCAGGCTTTAGTGTGTGCTTGATTTTCGGTCTGATGTGAAGAGCGGTGTGTATGCTGCGTTTTTGCTTATGGGAAGTTCAATTTGCTTTTTACCGACTTCGTGTGGGGTCCTTGCTTTCGTACTGATTTTTGTCATGCAACTTGGTGAGTTGTTTACTTGTAGGTCTCTCTTGGGTACTCTGGGTTTCCCGTCCCTGTCATCCCCAGCATCTGGCTTCTTAATCTCACTCCTTACTTTGTTCAGTAAAGCATAATCCAAACCTTTAACCAAATGTGTATGCTCCACATCACCATATTATAAATGAATGTCGTTCGACCGGGAAGGAACATCTCATTCGTCTTGCTAATGGTCTGAGGCTTGACAATCCACTGATAAACTTAGCAGTTGCTGTGCGAATTGACACTTGCTGATATCCTGTTTATTTGTGCAGGTGCTTTGGCATTTGGTGAATCATTGTGTGTTGGCACGCAAAAGAATGTGGGTTAGTGATGGTGTAAAGGATCGTGGGGATAGGCTTTGAAGATGTAGGAGGTAAGATCACAACGCCGGCGGTAAACCGCAGCTTAAGGTATATCCCTATTAGCTGTACTGCTCTTATTTCCTGACTGCATAATTATTTAATTATTCTTCATCTCTCTTTTTTTTCATGTGAGTACTCATGGGGGACTTGGCATGACAAAAGGGTTGCTACGGCGAGGATAGAAGAACAAATGACGCCCTTGCGGAAGCTTTTTTCCTTTACGTTTGTTGACTACTTCGACAAGGAGCTTTGGACATCATAATTTCCACATGGATCTTGAGTCGGACCTGTCTGCGGCTTTCTTTGTCTTTTTCCTCTCGAATAATTGATGAACTTGTTGACACACGCACCGGCCTTGCTGATGAGCAGCATGTCAAGTCAGAATTTCGCCACCGTCATATGATTTATGTAACTCTCATTAGTCCGGTGCCTTAGTTTATCATTCTGTAATGATGATAGCATGTATTTCGGCATGATGAATTTCTTTCGTAACAGATACCACCTTGGTGACTTAAAGCTCATAAGTTATCCACTTTCTAGTGCCACTTTGAGGTTTTGGATACTGTATAAAATACTACTGTAAAAACGCATGCCCTCCAGTGATTAGGCTAGAGATAAATGAGATTTTTTTGTAGCAATTACAGTGAATAGCTGCGTTTTATCCTCAAAATCTGTTGTCATTCAACCATGATAGACTCAAAGTATATTAAGGCTTCTAACTTGAATTTCAATTGGACTTAGCTTGTGGTACAACTAGCTCTGATCCATATTATCCACACAATTTGCTTACATCCTCTCGTCTTCCCTTTACAACATATAAAAGAACATTCCTTTGTATTTGAAACGAATTGCTAACATATTTGGAGTATATGACCTGTATTCTGAACAACCTTGAAATCATCTGAACTAATAGGCCGGACAATTACCTTGGTAGAGTGTAACGACATTGACGTGTGTAATTTAATGATCCATGATTTTTTACTACACTTTTTTCTCTTTTAAATACCCTTATAAAAACTCAACTCTTAAAAATGGATTCACACCTGTAATGTTTGGAAAGATATCGCTCTCAACGTAAATCCATGAATCAATAATTGAATCAATTCCCCGTCTTCTTAAAGTGTACGAAATTAATGTTTAATCATGGATCCATATTGACAATCGTACACAGCCGAGCCTTGAACCTTGACATTTGCTAACCAAATTTTTTTTTATGTCTAGCAGGCTATTACCTTCAGTTGACTTTACACTGCCCAAACTCTACCTGGTAAATGCACTCATCTTTAAGGATCTTGAAGCGCATTGTCATAACCACACTTCCCTGACTGGCTATCGTCGAAACAGAAAATATGACAAATTTGGGGTATGACAAGAGACATATGAAGTAGAGAGACTGTCATAATTTAAAACACAAGCATATTTAGGATTAGAAAGATGAGATCAAATACCTTTTTGTAATTTTATTGGAAGGTCAGTTGTGCAAGTGTCGTAATTGGATGTGCAGTTGAAAAATGGTGATGTTTCAAAGAACGTGACATCAGAGGAAACAATGTATCGCTGAAGTTAGGGACAAAAACAATTATATCCTTTTTGTATACGTGAGTAGCTTAGAAAGATGCATTTGAGAGCCTCAAGAGGGCAATCAAGAGAAAACCTAATCTTCATCCTTCACACTCAAACTTGTGACCAACCATGTTTGGGAACCAAGGATCAAATGATATGCTAATGAGATGATATGATGAATATATGATAAGAAAGTTAGAGTGAAAATTAGGGTATGACACTAACCACTAACCAACACCTTGTGTAATCATGATTGTATCAACACATCTTTGACTTGAACATTTCACTAGTAAAAAAAAATTCTTCCATCAATTTTCTCTACCCAAACCGCATAACAGAACTTGTGACTGTAATTCAACAACTCTTTCACAACACCATCATTTTTTTCTAATGTGGAAGATCAGACAAAGCTGCAACTACAAAGCATACTAAGAGCTCATATACCCGTATCTAACCAAAAGCTCTAATACCAATTGTTTGAAAAAACCGACATAGAGAAAATATAAAAAAATACAATCATAACACATAGACATAACATGGAAACTTTAAAACCGAAGAAAAAATCACGACCATTGTCAAATGAAAACCAAAGAATAATACTATGTAAAAATTGTTACAACACATAATTCACCCTCAACCACCCCAGGCCCTAGTACACCCACACTCCCAGAACAAATATTTAACTATATTTCACAACACTTTAACACGAGAGTGTAAGAGAACAAAAAAGTCAAATACAAGTTTAAAGTGCTTTTGTCTGATCCATTTTGTAAACTTGAATCCATTATATAATCATGAACTCCATTTTCCTTTACAAAACTAAGCGATATGAGACTTCTTCAACACATATATTTTCAACCAACCCCAACAAATCTGCCCACAGTTAAATACAAATCCGCCCACAGTTAAATAGACGGAATAAGCGGGATGAAACATTGGGTTGGTTTCAATAATCCAACTTTAGCAAGTCAATCTCTGACTCATATGATTGGAGGAACACTCATGACTAACTAAGATATCAGATACACAAATTTGGGTAATCAATCTGAATTCTCAATAATCATATAAAGCAAGATCAATCACATTCAATGACATCAATTAGACCTTCCTACAATATATGTCAGAATAACTATATAAGAGCAGGAACACAAGAAGAAAAGACACTCACAATTTCATAGAGAGAACAACTATGACTCTTACTAGCTTAATTCTGATAGAGTATCAATTAGTGTACTTTACGTGTACGGTCAAACACACCAAACTTTATTTCTAATTTAAGGTATGATTATTACGTCCAAAAATATATAAAAAAAAAATAGTCTTAAACTAATTCTATTATCAAGAAATTAGAATAACATAATCAATCTCATCATGTGATTTAAAAGGAAAAAAATATAACTATAATTTTTTAGACTTTTTTTTAGTTAAAGTCCTTTCCAATCCTACCTCTTGAGGTTCCTTAGCCTTCATTTAGGTTGGTTCTCATCAAAGTTTCTAATGCACTCACATCTTAAAATCATGTTTGTGGCATTACCTTTATCCTCCCCTACATCCACCTCTCCAAGTGGTTTTTCTTTACTTGGCCTAGGTTATGAATTTTAAAAACAGAAGAAGAAAATAGCTTCTATTCCAATCAAGAATCATTCACATGACATAGAGCTTTTTTTATGATATAGACTTTCTAATGCATACAAAATCTTCAAAACTCAAATAACAAACTACTTACAAAAATTGACACCTACAACATGAACACATGCATCCATGCAAGGCACATCTCAATCATTCTTTATTTCTTATTCTATAATAACTATTTCCTTGAAGACACACTCACTTCACTACACATGAAAGATATTTGGTTGCTTTACTTGTGCTATCATTTCAACAACTTCCCTCATAGTTGGTCTTTCCACACTTTGTTCTTCAACACAACACATAGCCACAAAGAATATATGCATTGCTTCATCTATAGGAATTTGATGTAACCTTCCATCAAGAATCTTCACCACACTTTCTTTGTTCCAATCAGTTTGTAACTTTGTCCATTGAACAATATCCATTCCATCTTCACCAAAATCTCCCACTGGTCTTCTCCCTGTCAATAGCTCTAGTAGCACCACTCCAAAGCTATATACATCACTTTTCTCATCCACTTTCAATGTGTATGCATATTCTGTTAACATAATTCAAAATCAGTATACCATAATTGATTCCTATCATAAATAGAGTTTCTATATGTTTTGTCATGGTTAAACTGTGACTAACTTAAAAGAACCTTCAAATATTTGAGACGACTCTGGTAATTATATATACTATATCAAAATTAAAAAGTACCTGGAGCAATGTATCCATAAGAACCAACAATAGAAGACATGCATTCAGAAGTTCCACCATTATTCTCTTGCAACAAAAACTTAGCAAGTCCAAAATCAGCAACATGAGCTTCAAGTTCAGAATCCAACAAAATATTATTTGACTTAACATCTCTATGAACTATCAAAGGACAACAATCATGGTGCAAATAGCAAAGTCCTTTAGCAGCTTCAGTTGCTATTTTCACCCTAACTTTCCACTCAAGAAACCCCCCTCTTTTTCCATGCAACACTTCACCTAAACTACCATTTGTCATATACTCATAAACAAGCAAATTAGTGTCTCCATTTGAACAAAATGCCAACAACTTCACAATGTATCTATGCCTTATTCTACCAAGTGTTTTTATTTCAGCTGATAAACCATTATCATAAGAACTACCTTTGTTAACTCCTAACAACTTTTTCACAGCTACTTTTTCTCCATTCGGCATTGTTCCTCCATATACAACACCGGCTCCGCCTCTTCCTATGATGTTACTCTCCTTTACACAACCTAAGATGTCTTCACTTCCATATTCAATCTTCTGAAATGCTGTTAACTTCCATGTATTCGAGTCCTTCCGAATTCCTTTTCGACTTTTGATTATAGCAAACGTTGCGAAAACCAACGAACAAACCAAAAGTGCTAATGCAAATAGAAGCTTATACCTTACCAGAATTCCATGTTTCGCAGGACTGTTTTCTTGATTCGGAGACTCAGATGTTTCTGATGAAGAACGGTTGCATGGACTCGAATCATATCCACATAAATTTGGATTACCGATAAAGGAAGTAGAATTGAACATTAAGAATTGTCCTATTTCAGGAATTGAACCAGAGAAATTGTTATGAGAGAAATCAGCTGAAGTTAAGCCCTTAATAGAACCAAGCTCCTTAGGGAGTGTTTGGTTTAGATTGTTCCATGACACATTAAGATAGTTAAGTATGTGAATCTGTGAAACCTGAAATGGAATAGGACCTGATAATTGATTCTGACTCAAATCTAAATAGGTAAGTGAAAAACATTCACCTATCTCAATAGGAATTTTTCCTGAAAAGTTGTTGAAACCCATATCCAACCTTAGAATGTTCTTCAACTTTCCTATATCTTGAGGAATTTCACCTGAGAATCTATTTCCATGAAGAAGCAGAATCTGCAAATTTGGAAAATCCCCAATAGAACTCGGGAGAGATCCTGAAAAACGATTGTTCGACAGATTCATCTCTTCGAGTTTAGAACTGTTTGTGTTTGTGGTTTCTTGCTGCGCAAGAAAACCACTGAAAAAATTGTTCTGCAGTTCAAGAAGTGAAATTTCAGGCAAATATAGTAAACCTTTCGGTATCGAACCTGTTAAATAGTTTCGTCCAAGACGAACTCTTTCGAGTGTGTAACATTCACCAAGTTCATTAGGCAAAGAACCAACCAGAAAATTATTGAGTAAAATCAAAATCTTGAGCTTCTTTCCAATGCATAAAGATCTAGGAAGTATTCCAGTGAGCTTGTTCGTCGATAAATCAAGCTCGGTCAGTTTACCATTCTCTCCAAGCTTTGAAGGAATAGAACCTTCGAAACCGTTATGCCAAAGCTTCAACACTTCCAAATTCGGTAACTCAGAAACAAAAGACGGAATCACACCAGAGAGTTTGTTGATGAACAAATTCAAGAGTTTGAGTTCACGAAGATTCGAAAACTCATTCGGTATGTTTCCAATCAACTCGTTGTTCGACAAATCAAGAGACTTCAAACTAGTTAAATTCCCTAATTCCAAAGGAATTGAACCACTAAGTTGATTGGTCTGCAAGAAAAGTGTGTCTAGTTTGTAAAGTTTACCTAACTCATGTGGAATTTCACCTCTCAAACCACAGTTTGCAAGATCAAGATGAACCAAATTAACTAGATTACCGAAACCTTTTGGAATTTCACCTTCAAACTCATTGAAATAACCTAAAAAAAGATGTGTCAAGTTACTAAGGTTTCCAAGCTCAAAAGGCATGAAACCTCTCAAATCATTACCTGCAAGAGACAGATAGTTCAAACTCATCATCTTTCCATATCTTGCAGGAATCTCTCCGCGGAAAAAGTTTCCGCCGAGATTCAAGTACTTAAGACTATGTAACTGAGTGACTCCACTAGGAAGTGAAGAATTGAACTCATTGTTGTAAGCATCGAAAACCTCAAGCTCTTTGAGGTTTGAGAATTTCCATCTTAGGTCTCCATTGAGCATGTTGTTTGATATGTTGAGGACTCTCAAGGTTGATAGCTTTGTGATGGAAGATGAGAAGGTTCCAGAAACATTCAAGTTTGATATGTCTAATGACACAACAGAAGTATTGTCTGTGTTACATTGGATACCATACCATGTTGTACAAAGGGACATGTAGTTAGAGATGTTCCATGTTTTTAAGGATGTGTTTTTGGAATGGAAATCTTGTTTGAGAGAAACTAAGATAGAGGCTTGTGTTTTCAAAGACAATGGAAGCGATGAAGAAAGAGAAAGAGGAGAGAAAAGAAAGAAGGTATAGAGAAGAAAGGTGAAAGAAGAGATAGGAATATTCATTGTTTGTGGAAGAATGATTCTAGCTTAGAAGTGAAATGAAGATATGAAAGTGAATATGCAGAAAGAGTGAGAAGAAGATTTGTGACACTATTGTTTTTTCTTTTATCTTTAGCTTTTAGAAAGCAAAAGCAAAAGCATAATGTGTTGGATATTGCATGGCCAACAAGACTGTTTTATAAGCATGTTAATTTTCATTTTTTATTTTTAATTTGGCTAAACCTTTTGTTTATTTAATACTAGTATATTATGTTGGTTTTTGAGCCCTTAAGCTTTAATACGAATTAATTTACTCAAAATCATTTTTTTCAAATAACCAAACAACGCTGAATTAGATTTGGAATCTTGATTTGAAGCCAAAGATATATAGTAATACTAGAATATAATCTTTAGACATATCGCAAATACCAATCATGTGTAGAAATAAATAGAAAACATTATGCATGCTGAGTGTACATTTTATATTTTTGCATCTTCATAGGTGGTGGTGTCATTACCCAATGTGTTGCTTTCTTATTATTCATGACAAGAATACCAAAATATAGAGCAAGATATCTATATATCACATAATTACTGGTCCAATTATAATAGTTTATTAATACTTTGTCATTTATTATCTTTACAAAATGATTAAATTATTGAGCATTACTAGTTTTATACTTATTCAATTGAGGCAAATCTCGTACTCATCACTTCAACAAGATCTTTTTCTTTTAAAAGACACAATCATGACGAATTCTCAATTAGAGTTTACATTGTTCTTAACATTTAATTCAAATGTTTTTGAGTAAGAGTAACAAAATTAACTTGATCGGTTAAGTATGTCCGTTTTATCAATATTATTTTATAAGGTGAGTCAAGATTTTAGACCCTCACTCTTTAATATATTTTTTGTTGAAATACAAGGTTGAAAATGAAAAAATGGAAGAGAAATTTTTTTTATGCACTTCAGTTGCATCTAGTGCAATCGTCGTATAACCGTCATTAACGAGATCAATAACATTTTGAATTTTAAACAACACACACATCTGAACATCCACCGATTCTAATTCTTTCTATCACACACTAGAAGCTTTGTTCAAACTACCATTTCCTCCGTTCATCTTTGTTCTTGTGCAAATTCACTCAAATCTCACTAACACTCGTGTTTTTTAATCCCCCATAATCAAAAAATATGATTCTATTTCGATTCAAATCTTCATTTCACTGTGAATTAAATGAACTAAATCCATCACACACGTCTCACGTACACTTATGTTTCTCGTTCCTAAATCTGAACAGGAGCTCTAGATAGCAATTGTTGGAGCACAAGGTTGAAGATGAAGAAGATTAAAAAGAGAAAAGTTTGTAAAAGACTGAAAACGATTACAATTGAAAAAATCTATTAGAACTGAAACTTGAGTTCATTATTTATACTATCAGATCCACTAAATAAAACTCAAATTAAATCTAAATGTAACTTAAATATAAATTTTGATTACACTTCATCATATCTCCCACCCATCTCATTTTTTTCTAGACCCAGACATGTACACAACAAATGTTTGCATTTTAAGGTGTAAAAGGTGAGGCGTTTGCGGATCTGCCTCGTTCCACCCTCATTTTTTTAGGACGAAATAATGTTTTATGTACAAATCCTCAACTATGTCCGTCTTGATTTATTCCGTTTTCTATAGACTTTTGCATATCATAACTAAACGGGACACAACTTATTTTTAAGTGGATAAAATTGTATTTGATAATCATTTCAAAAGTGCGATTATTAAACTGATATTAATAAACTTTATATCCAATCAGAGAAACTAAGAAAGATTCTTATGTCAATTATGTATGACAAATGATAAGTATTTTTGAAATGTCTCATTGGTCTTTTGAATGTCCCATGAAAGTTAATTTTGTTAAGGAATTGCCTCATATTTTAAAATACACAGTTCAATGTTTATTCATACATCTCTGAATCTTGAAATTTATTTGATTTCCACGATGTCCTGAAATTTAATTTACTTAAATTTTGTTATATTAAAAATGTATATCTACATTTATGATTGATGTGAGATTTAACCATGCCTAATCACATTTAAAGATAGTAATAATGTTATGAAAAAGACAATGTTTATGATTGAATGATATGAAAATAATTAAGGTGGGATACCCTTTATTTCTTTGTAGTGTAGTAACTGAGTTCCATTTCACAATAAAGTATATCTTGAAAATATAGTGATAATAGAGAGGAGCTAGCTTCTTTTAACCTTCACTTTACTACACTCGTTTAACGTGAAAAAGAAAAAGCAAATTTAAAGTTCACGATTCTTCTTCTTTTAAGAACATGTTGGGATCCATTCTCTCTCTCTCTCACTTCAAAATGTGGACCAGTTTTAATGTTTCCATGTTTCTTTTTTTATTAACCAATTGAACTTGGTCAAATGGCAGTGGTCTTTGCATGGCTTGATCAGTATATTCAAGATATGATTTTGGTCAGTGATTGTGTTAGGACCCATTTCTAGCATTACATTAATCCACTAAAAAAAGCACTTTAGTTTAGTACCTTTTCTGCTTGAACTTGGACCGGTTCTGTAGACAGCAATATAAAGAGAGTTTTAAAAACGTAAGCGACCTCCGTGGTTGTGAAAAAATGGTAGCGAAATATATCTTTATTATATCGTTATTATCGTTTTTTATATTAAAGAATAAATTGTGGTTAATTCATACTACAACGATCATAATCAATATCGTGACTAAAATGGTGAAAGTCATCCTGATTGAATTAACCACTGTTAAATTAAGATAGTACAATGTATAAAATAAAGGAGTAAGGACTCCACCATTAAATTAAGAGAGTAGCATGTATAAAATATCATTATAATAGTAGAGAGAGATGCATCACCCCATTGAACAAGAGGTTACAACAGAAGCATGTTTGAAGCTGAAGCAAAAATTATAGCAGGGATGTAAATATTACCATAGAGATATTATGTAGGGTGGTGCAAACTACACCCATGTACTAATCACACACTTAATGAAAATTTGAAAATGCCAGATTAAATTCCATATACATATATTATATAATAAATCATTTCATCAGAACCATATCAAGTATAAGTAAAAACATATGTCTAAATTACAAAATTTAGATATATCATATATTATAAGAGTTTAAATTCACTCGAAACGTATCAAATACACAAAAATTCAATTTGAATTTTCAAAATTGGATATTCAGAAAAGGTTTTAAAATTAATTTTAAAATATTTTTGATTTGATCTCTCAACATAAATTTTTGTTGAAGTTGGAAAAGTTTAATGAAGTGGCTTGCATAACGTGACTTCTATGGTTGTCTTTAATCTCAAAAGAATCATTTTAAAGTTTGTTGGTACCTCTGTTTCAAATCTCCAATACGAGATAGGAAGGAATTGATTAAGCAAATTTCATATATGCTTATTTTGTGTAGTTGTAAACACTGAGAGTAAGAATATATAAGTATCTTCTATATAATGAATTCTTATAGGTATCTATTCTTGAGGGAATATCTTTTGACAAGTTATCAGATGAGGATTGTAAGTGTTTAAAAGCAAAGTTTTTAGATCAGGAAATCAAGGAGGCAGTTCAAGGATGTGAGAGAACAAGACCCCGGGATTAGATGGGTATAATTTTTTCTTCATCAAGAAGTGTTGGCATTTTTTTAAAGATGACATCTCGCGCTTCTTTAAAGAGTTTTATGGAAAATGTGTGTTATCTAAAGCTATTACGTCTTTTTTTTTAACGTTGATTTTGAAGAACGATAATTCTTTGGGGCTTGACAAGTACATATCCATATGTCTTGTTAGTAGTCTCTATAAATCTCTCTCTAAGTTGCTAGCTACTAGGTTAAAGAAGCTGGTTCTTTGCTCCATTGTTTCTTTTTGTCAAAGTGCATTCGTCCCTGGGAGAAATTTTTTGGATGAGGTTCTAGTTGCTAATGAAGTAGTGGATTATGCAACGAAGGAGAAAACAAATGAAGGTATTACTACTTGTATACTAGAGGTGGTGTTGGAGGAACAACACCGCCTACACCAATGAAAATTCTCAGTTGAAGCTGCAGGGGGTTAGGGAGTCCCCGTGCAGTTCGAGCCTTGTTGAGGCTCATTCGTCTGGAAAATCCTGATTTGGTTTTCTTGATGGAAAGTCGCCTTAAGGTTGATAAGATATGTAGTATTAGATTGAGGACTAACTCCAATGAGGGTGTTGTGGTGGACTGCAATGGAGAGGGAAGAAGAAGATCGAGGGGCTTGGTCTTGTGGTGGAAAGATGGTGTTAAAGCTGAAATACACTCCTTCTCTTTAAACAACATTAGTGGCTCAATATTTGGTAATGATGGAGAGGATAAATGGTTTTTTCATGGCATTTACGGGTATCCTGAGGAGGATAACAAGAGAAAGATCTGGAGTCTGGTGGAAAGCTTATGTAGACAAGGGGAGAGGGGTAATTTGCTTTGGTGATTTCAATGACATTTTGGCTTATTGTGAGAAGATGAGGGGAGTGAATAGTTCCTCCTCTCAGCTTGATTGGGGGAGGAAAACTGTGGAGACTTATGGCCTACTGGATCTATGGTTTGCGGGTTATCCTTTCACTTGGACGAATGGCAGACAAAATGTTGGTAACATTCAGTGTAAGCTTGACAGAGGTTTTGCAACTGCGAGTTTCATTCATAAATTTGAACCAGTCAAGGTTAATCATTTGCCATGCCACGACTTTGATCACTCTGCAATTGCGATTATTCTTGATTCAGAAGAGGAGGAAATCCAAAGGAAGCGTAAGAATTTATTCCATTTTGAGGAAGTCTGGCTTAGTGACCCTAAATATGAGGATCTTATTAGAGAGTTTTTGAATGGAGCTAGCCCCCATGGTTTATGTCGTATCCAGGCAATATATGGATTAGATGATCATTTCAAAAGCTATAGATTAGGTGTTGTGACCAAGGAGATTCTTAGACTTGAAGCAAAGCTTAAAGAGGAGTCCAACGGGGT